CCGCCGGTGTCGCCCGTATCAGAAACCGCTACTGTTCAGCTGCATGGAATACTTTTGGTAAATTTCATGTTTTTTAGGGTGTTGACTCAAAAAATGATCTTCAGTTGCCTCCATGACGTACAGTTTTCTTTTTGGTTTTTTTGCAAAACATGAGGAGTTGACATTATAAAAAGCACAACAGCAATGACAAAAATCAATATTTGATTTTCAATACTATGCATAATTTTTCCGAGATTCCTTACCTTTCCCTATGAACAAAATAAACCTGTTGGGGATCATCTGAGCTCCTCACATCGCCAAACCTACGGTACCCTCCCACTCCTACTGAGCCCCTTAATTTATTTCATTTTCTAGAAATATTACATTAATGTAAGAAATAATTATTGGTTATGGTTTTTTGACTCAAGTATACGATACCAAATTTCAGTTTTAAAAGGGACATTGCACGCTTAATTAAACTAAAAACGTGAGTTCTGCTAGCAAACCTGACGAGATGGAATTAAAAAATATATATTTTTGAATGTTTCAGTGAGATGAAAATCTAAGAAACAGTCAAAAAATGGTTTTTGGTTGTATACATGTGTTAGTGTCGGACTGCCACCGTTGGGATTTTGTACCATATATGAAAACAATTGAACTGAACAAAATGCAGTATTTTACACAGGTGAATGAATTTTGAGCAAACTCTAAGCAATTAAAAAAATTATAGTCCGATTGATGCATCTCGTCGGTATGCGGACCGGAAGTTATGTATGACTTCCGGCTGTGGCGTGGGGCGCTTGAATTGGGTGAAAGGTGAAGAAGACGACCCGCAGCCAATTTGTGCACAAACTGTGATCGCTTCCTCTACATTTCAACTCACCTGAGCCCCACCATGCTCCAGAACACAGGGTGAGTGCCTTCTCCTGCACGCAGAAGTCCATTCAAAAGTTCGCTGTGTAAAGTCCGCGGTTCGCCCGAAGTGTCGTCACGGAATGCTACGCAGCCCTGGAACAAGCGGAGGTTTTAAATTAATAAAATGGTTCGATTTGAGGGTTTTAACGCAGCCGAATTAATGATGAAGAGTTCCGTTGTGTAAATCTGCTATACTTTGTTCTTCTTCTCTTGTCGTCTGTCTTTTTGAGCAAGGCATTATGAAGTCCAAGATTATTGTATTGGATCTGGTGGCAACTGCTTATTCACGATGAGATTCTGCCCTTGCATGCAAACAGGCTGTTTCTGTTCAGAAACTTGTGTGGTCTGCATTTATTAACCACCTGATTTAGAGTTCAGAGCAGAGAAAAGCTGTAGAACTGTAGTGTATGTAAACAGTTTTAAACTGGTACCTCACGGGAGAGGAACTGAGCTGGTGGCATTGCTCTAAATTACAGGATCTTATCTGCTGCGTCTGGTCACAGGTGATCAGTCTGAATTCAGCTTAAACATTTAATTAGCTGCATCGGCATCCACTCGACAATCCCAA